ATACTCTTTGCAGGATTTTTTGGAATCTTTTCTACATCTATAAACAAAATTCTTTTAGACGCACAAATAAAAGAATATAACACAAAAATAGCAACACGACAAAATACATATGACGAAGAACATAACAATGTAGACATAACGCCAACGGCACCACAATTACCACCCCTACCAAATAACCATCCACTATCCCTAGTCCCACGAAATTTTCGAAATTTAGCCATCACACATAATCCAAATTTTCGACTCACCACATCACAAAGTCCCATCCAACATATAATGACACACCAGTCACAAGATGATAATACTTATGAACAAATTATTGAACAACCCCATACCACCGCTTTTCAGTCTCAAAATAATCATTTTTTTAGCCCACGATGAGCCGCCAACTTGGATCACTACACCGATCACATTCCCACCCAACCAATCTTACCTCTCCAATCCCAATAATACCACTTTTTGCTTTTCCGCCACCCGATTTTCCATCCAGTAATGTAACATCAGGCATGAATTCCGACACTAATTCACACATCTCAGTTTTATATTCCATCTCACAACTCAATAACCCAAATATTGAAACCCCCGATGAATTTGCCGACTCAGAACCATCCCCATCAAATAATTTTCATAACTCTTCTAAATTTTCTCAACCCCCTTTTCAACCCATATTATCCAATAACCCTGACCCAATCACTCCCACACCCTCTTATGCTTCCCAAGTTACCCCAACCTACTCCTCATACCATTCTGACCAATCATCTCATTCTCCAGACACCCCCCGAATCTCCCCAGAGCTAGATAATTTTATTACCCTTCAACAACAACCCTACCACCTCCATACCCCAACAATAAACCAAATCTCCTCCACAATAAATTCATCCAACCCCCCTACCCCTACACCCTCTTCAAATTATACTGAATCATTAGCACCATCATCCACATCAACTGAATCTTCACACAATACTAATAGAGCTTACCGCACTTTTAAAAGAAAGTTCCCCAACCATCCTTTCTCAGCAAAACCAGGAACAGCCCGTGAATACATCAACCACCCCAAGCATACTAACACAAAAGAATTTTTAGCCATCACCTTACCCTCATTCCCACAATACACCTTAAACACCCCCCACGACACTAACGAAACACGCAACTTTGTAGATGAATACGTTTTAATGCCCACTCTCTCTTGGACCTCATATTATCATTTTACTAACCCTCTTTGCTTACCTTTATCTAACACTCACATCGATATAGAGCGAAATACGGACATGCTATATCGACTCACTACACCACTAACCGCTAGACAATTTACTTACGTTGGATATAAAAAATCACTAAAAACACACACTGCACCTAGAGCTAACGAATATACACTCGAATACTATGATCACAACATCATCAGAGCTAACCAAGATCAATTCTTAGACGACGATCGCTTTGCTAATCCACAAATTACCGAGAAATTTTTCATCAAGACACCATATATATTTACACTAAACATCTTCGACCGAAAGTTTGATCACATTATTTCAGAAGCACTAACAGACACACAAGCATACGAAAGTTTTAAAGAACGCTTCCAAATATTTTCACTAACCTTTCATTTCCTTGCACCACACGAAAGAGATTTACACTGCTCACACGATATTATGTTGCGCACTAAACAAACCCACACATATAGTTATTATCGCTTCATCCAAAATCACTTTGACCTACACACACCCTCTAGACAACCACACCATCGTTTTCAATTCATTAATTCCAAATACACTTCACCATTTTTCCTAAATTTCACATATTGCATTAAAGATACTAACCTTCATGGTATTCTTCGCAATTATGATCCCATAACCCAAATGTACATCTTCTGTCCCATCACCAAGACCTTCAACGCCGAAGAATCCCGACCCTTCCTTATCCCGCACGAGTTTGTACAACCTATAGAAATCCCAATTTTAGAATTCATCCACAACACTAAATTCAATCACAAATTATATAATCTAATCCAAAACACACCTTATGAGTTTGCAGTTGGCACTGAAGAACTAACCACTATTAAGGCACTTCAATTGCTTTGGCCACTGCTTCAGACTAAAAATATCATCCGCATCTTAGCTAAACTACTAACAACTTCCGATCTCATCCACGACATCTTCCCCCACGGTTTTTTCCCCGACGACTAACAGGTAAGTATGAATTAAATGAATATTACTAACTAATTAAAATATTAAAAACTCACCATACTTTATCCATGTTTTCTTTAGATTTTTAGCCTTCATCCGACAATCACCTACAAAAACCACAAAAGACAAATAAAAATCGCAAATTTCATCAAACAGATTTCAACAATTCTATTAATCTCTTACACTTATAAATTTATAAATTTAATACCAATGCAGTAAATTCATTTCTAAAATTTTCCCCACAAGCAGTAAATCTAATTATGATGAAAATTTGTAACTTAAAATTCCCCCATAACTAGCAGTAAATTTACAAATTCTATGCAGTAAATTAATAAAATGCAAATGCAGTACTAACCTTTTGATATTCTCATTCATTCGCACAGAAATTCTATCCACACTCGCACAGCTCGCCCACGAAGAATTGTTTAAAATAATGAATTTCAGTTTCAAGTTTTCACACTCAACAACTCTAACATATAATAACATGTTTCAAACTTTCCTTTAACCCGGTTGGAAAGGAATCATATACTAAACAAAACTAACCAACGCAGCTTACTAAATACCACAAATCATAGAATAACAGCATGACTAAGAAAAGGAAACCAACGGTACCCAAACCGGATTAACCCAGTTTAAAACTGGATAATTTATTCTTTTGAAGACTATTATAAAGTCTAAGAAAGAAATAATAAAACACAAAAAAGTCGAAAGACAAACCCATACCACGAACAATTTGCTTTTTGGAAAAAGGACATAACCAACAAGACATAAGAAAAACCACAACAAACCCAACATAAAACGTTGTCACATAACAGGACCCCTCACAAAAACCGCATGAAATCATACTCCCACTCCTGGCCTAACCCACCAGGAAGGACGTCCTGAGCATGCTCTATAGCCGGCCTAACCCACCGCGCTACATCCACGCTTTGTGACCACACCTCTATTTTTAATAAGAGCTACTCAAGTGTGAGTAACTCTTCAAAATAACCGAACTAAAACAAAAAGCTTTTGTGAAAACAACTAACTAAAATCATAATTAAAAAAAATTAAACTAATAAATGTTTTATAAAATGTAAATTACATTATGCAATACATAGATCAGAATACAACACCAAGGACGAACATCTAAAGACAAAACGACCCCACTACACTCGAGAGAGAATGACCAACCACAATCGATATGCCACTCACAATCACAACTCAAAGGATTTAGAGTACGACTTGACTTCGCAGAAAAGGACTTCATTGAACTAGACCAATGACCACCTCGATGTTCAAGTATACGTACAGATCCGAGTAACCAGGCATCCCCTCCACGCACAATCTCCACGCCATTCCCAAATTAGATCAGACACAAAAGAAGTTCTCCACGCAGAACAGAAAAACCTGACATAGCAAACCATTCTGAAATCAGATTTGAGTTTGTTGCAAAGACTTAGTCGTTGTCACTAGAAGACACAACGTCTTATGTCTCTAACTCCAGCTTCCTGGAACTTCTTTAACAAAGAGGAAACAGAAGAAATAAGATGTTCGCCAAACACCAACGTCCATCATCCATCCTTCGAATTGCAGAAGAACTATTCTAAAAAACTCTGTAAAACCCGGATGGGTGGAACCTGATCTAAACTACATTTTATGATTGGATAATTTAGATATTTTACCAATGTAAAGTATTTAATATTAACCAATCATGATCCATCTAACTAACAACCCACTTATTTGTAAGTGCTGAAGTTACTTGTAATTTCAGCACCAGAGAGATTTGAATTTAACTTAGAAATTAGTTGGACTCTCCCGAGCACTTCAGCAGCCGCAATAAACCAGTATACCCTAGATCTATTGAGCCTAGCAGAGACTAGTTAAACAACCTGAGACTAGATAGTATAAGAGTAAGATTAGGATCGGTATTAGACTAAGAAGTTGCACGAATCTATCCGGCCGAAAATAAGATAGCGTGACGAGCAGACGGTGTACCCTATCCGAAATTACTCTATGAGTTAACCAACTCGGTCCTAACTCATTTCTTCAAATATTTATCTATGGTGTTTTGTGAGTGCTCGGAAAATCAATTTAGTAGGCCTAAAAATGTTGAAAAAATTTCCCCACCGCAAGTGTGTCCCCTTGCAAGAAAATCCTTGATTAGCGCTCGTTCTTTTGATTTGTTTTGTTTAATTGAAAAGGTAGCAAAACTGAAATCAAGTGCTTAAGAATGCGCTTTCTGGGAAATATTGTAATGAGTCACTTCAAAAATGGGTATTTTAAAACATAAATAGTGATCTACTTGGAAGCACCGACAATGAGGGATCGAACTCTCGTCTCCTTACCATAACCACGCTACTGATTATGTGCCTTCTTCAATGAGAATTTGACATTTTCAACCGAATTCTTAGAGGGTGTACTTACATGTTTATTACACTTATTCACCATTCAATCTGTTATAAGCTTCAGTTGAGTAGTTCTTAAGTCATTCCCTTGATTATAACAGATCAATCATTTTCGATGCTATCAAAATTTTGCTGTTTTTTTTTGCTGTAAAAATTATAAATCACTAGCTAGGAGGGAATGACGTATAAAATTACCTTTCCATAAAGCTTTTTCGATTATGTGGGTGCTCAACCAAAAAACGCTACCTTTTTTCAATACTTTTACGTCTACGATAACTTATCATGGAACTAGTTCACAAAATTAAGCCAAAGGTTGCCTCATAAAAAATAAACCCATTTTGATCCTAGCGGACGTATAACCCGCTACTTTGCTGCAATACTGTTTTTTGAAGAGATCCGTAATCACTATACGACTAAAGCCTTATGTTAGGTGGCAGTTCGTCACTGGCGAGTGTCTGAAGGTGTTCGAGGGTCACAAGAGGTCAGTGACCCCTCTGTTGTTCATACCTGCTAAAAGCAACCAGGAGGATGATGCACCAGACATGCACGATGCAAGCGAAGACGACATGTTTGTATCCGGTCAGTGATTTGCTCACGTTATAATAATCACAAAACATTTTTTTTATAGTAACCTCTTAATTTGGGTCATTTTTGGAATACGAGTTCTGGTGTAAACAGAAATGACTTGTAACCGGTATTTCGACATGGCTTTAGTAATTTTCCGTGGTCCTGCCTTAAGAATAACAAAAATTTAAAACTTCAGCCCCAGCGAATAATTTTGAGAGAATCTTGCACACGATCAGTATAAAGTTTTGGTGCTATTGGCATCAAACGAAGACTTTAAATAGCTAAGAAATTGGTTTTTAAGTTGCCATGTTTGGGTTTAACTATGAAATTGAACAAAATTTTGACTGCTGTGAGTTTTTCAGGTAGCAGTGACGGCTGTGCTAAGCTGTGGTCCCTGGACAATGCGAGATGTGTGCGCACTTTTGCGGGCCACGAGAGTGCAGTGGTGTGTCTGGAGACTGAGAACAGCCACGAGATACTCTTCACCGGCTCCCTGGACAACACTGTGCGCTCATGGGTGCTGGAGACTGGAGAACCCCTTAAGACCTTCTCCGGACACAGTGCGCCAATCGTGCACATTAAGGCAAGTAGAAAACCCTGAACACTCGCCCCAAATTGTTACACAGCAATATTCAGTTTAATTATTGGAGCAAAAGTTTTGCTATGAAAACTATCGCGCCTAAAGTTAAATTAGTTGTTATAAAAAATTAACACAAATTTGGTTCTTTTTCTTTCAGGCCGGCCATTTCTATGTTTTGATTTCTTTTCGAGCTAAAAACTTACTTTCGATTTTTGAGCTGAAAATGACTACATGCTTAAGGCCAGTTCGAAGATTACCAAGTATGCCATCGGCTTCGACGTTAAATTTACTAAAGACACACTATATTCGCCTAAAGAGAAGTATTAAAAGTCCGCCGGTAGAAAATGGGGATCTACTTAACAATCACTCTTTGGTATCTACAAAAAAAATTTCCCCCCTTATTAATATAACAGTTAATTTGCACTAATTTTCTATTGAGAATTCTAGTTTTGCTGCATTCTGATTGGTCTGCATTCTGCTGCAAATAGTTGCAGCAAAAAGTACTAATTGCAATAAAAAAATTGAGTTTTGTTATGGTTGGTTTGATGTCCATGCAATGACCCTAGTGTAAAAAATTCACGGACAAGTCTGAAATACTGGAAGCAAAAAAACTATTCAAATTCATCACTCAAATTAAAATCACAGCTTTGTAGTCAATTGCTTTACTCATAGTTGTGGGTTCGATTCATCCATTGGTGTGCGGAGATGTTTTTTCTAGGCGATTTTTTCATAGCTTATTAATAATTTTCTTGAATTTTTAAGCTCTTTTTTGCTTTTTTCTACAATTGGTGGCGAAGTGTGGCTTCGCCACTATAAACAGCTTCTCCTATGCGTACAATCTCAGCCCGCGTCCTTTATAGCTCTGTTTTTGCCAATTTTTTTTTATTATTATTCTAAACGTGATTTCTGCAAATAGACAGATACCTCGTCTGCGATTCGCAGAAACCCAGTATACATTACATCAAAAAAAAATACGCGTACAGAAACCTGGTATTTATAATAAAAGTTATAATAATAACCATAACAATAATCATAATAACAATAATCATGAGTTGTTACGCAGATTTGAAGCTGTTTACAGCGGCCAAGCCACACTCCGTCTACAAAACTAAAAATCGCAAAAAAGAGATAGAAAAATTTTGAAAAAATTGAAATTAAGGAATCGAAAAGTAGATAGTCCGTTTTGTATTATTATCCCATATTTTAGACTAATATATTTTGCAAAGTGAAGCTCTTTTTTTGCAAGTCAAGGCCGTTTTTTGCATTTCAGTCTTGCTACCAAAATCGGCCGGAATCATATTCAAAACTAATTTTGCTCATGTAATTTAGGGATTGTGAAGTCAGCAAAAATTTCAGCCGACTAGAAGTTGACCTCATTGCATTTTAATTGCCGCTTAATTCCGGTAAGTTAGGTAACTCAAATCACGGGGCTTATACACAAAACAGCTCAAAATCAATATTTTCATATCTTGCGTTTAAACTTAAGCGGTCGAATCTGATTGGCTAATCTTAGCCAATCAAATTCATGCTACGTGTTCAGAAAATTCAATCAAAACTTCCAGCAGATAAAAAACTTAGCCGAAATTATAAAAAATGTGAAACTTTAACCTAAATATTTTTTGAAGTGACTTGGAAAATTTTGCCCGGACAAAAAAATTCCTAAAATCAGCAGAATAGAAGTTCTATAACTTTGGTTGTTTCGACCAACAGTTTTATCAGCTTGAAACTTTAATTGAAATGCCCGACTATGTTAATGAAATTTGAGTGTTTGATCAGCCAATCAGATTCAACGTTTTTACCTTGAGTTCAGGAAAGTTGTAGAAATACTAACTTTGGGCCGTTAAGTGCATACGACCCCAAATAGCCTTGGTTCTTTAATTAGAAAACGGCAGCTTTCAACAAGACTACTCGATTTGAATAGAAAAAAGGACACCAAAAAAGAAGTTTCTGTTTCAATTGTAATAATAGTTCAATTTTTGAGCCAGATACAGTGCTGATTTAAAATAACTGGACAAAAAGCGTTAAACTTGAAATTTAAAACGCGTTTTTCTCAAATTGGGTTGAGTTTGGGTGAAAACTTATGAAGACAAAACTTGCTTAAAATTTTAGCAGAATTAATATATAGTGTAATTTGTTTGCGAAATTCGGGCCCAAAAATTTACCTCAAAATGGGTCATTTTGGCTTTTCTTAGTTAATCAAAAATTACGCCAAAAATTAATACGCCACTACATCAAAATTGGATACATAGACGCACAGCATTGATACAAACAACCTTAGATGGCGCAGCTCAAAAATGGTTTTCAGTATTACCTATAGAAATAAAATCAGACTGGAAAAGATTTACACAAGAATTTTCAAAAATGTTTGACTCCGAAAGAAATAAACAACACCAAAGAGTTTTATGTAATGAAATTCGCAGATTACCAAATGAAATCATCAAACAATTAGCAGTACGTATCGAAACACTAGTTCGAAAAGCATATTCACTTAATACACATGACCATAAAAACACAAAAATGACAAAAATTTTAATGATGACCTTAACACCTCAATTAAGGAAATCAGCAAGAAAAAAGAGAGCATCTCATCCTTCCTCAATTCGAGAGCCAGATTTAAATTTTCGAAAACTAGTAGACAAACTAGAGCAAGCGGAAATCACAATGAAACTTGAAGAAACAGAAAATCTAAAACTACAATCTGTTAATCGAATTGAAACAAACACTACGCATATAAATAACATACAGGAATCAGATACAGACCTAGTTGAAAAAATCACTGAAATACTAAATATTTATGAAAAACACCCAAATTTTAAAGGCAAACCATTTTGAAATCAGATTGATTTCATTGGGAAACACAGTCGTTGTCACAAGACGAAACAACGATTGATGTCCCTAACTCCAGCGTCCTGGAACTTCTCTAACAAGAGGAACCGGACAAAAATATGATGTTCACCAAATACCAACGTTCATCATCCATCCTTTGAACTGCAGAAAGATAATTCTAAGAAACTCTGTAAAACCCGGATGGGTGGAACCTGATCTAAACTATATTTTATGATTGGATAAATTAGATATTTTACCACTGTAAAGTATTTAATATTAACCAATCATGATCCATCTAACTAACAACCCACTTATTTGTAAGCGCTGAAATTACTTGTAATTTCAGCACCAGAGAGATTTGAATTTAACTTAGAAATTAGTTGTCTCTCCAAGAGAACTTCAGCAGCCGCAACAAACCAGTATACCCTAGATCTATTGAGCCTAGCAGAGACTAGTTAAACACCCTGAGACTAGAAAGTATAAGAGTAAGATTAGGATCGGTATTAGACTAAGAAGTTGCACGAATCTATCCGGCCGAAAATAAGATAGCGTGACGAACAGACGGTGTACCCTATCCGAAATTACTCTATGAGTTAACCACATCGGTCCTAACTCAGTTAATTTAAATCAGCACTGTAATTATAAACGATGATTGGTTATTTAATTAGGCTTTCACAAGGAGGCTATTCTAACTTTCAACCAATCAAAATCATTAGAAGTTCTTATTCGCTGAATGGTTTTTGCAGTGAACCTGAATCAAAGTTAGCAGAAATTCAAATAAAGCATTCACAGTCTGTGCAGATACAAAAATTTTGGTTATTATTTTTCAAATTTTTTGAAACCGGTATCTGTGAAAAAGTAATTGTTTTTCTGATGTGTCCTTGGTTGGGCAATGTTTGACAAACATTTACTTATCAGTAATCTGCTTATTTTATAATCGGTCAGTATTGATTTCTATGGCCTGGTTATATTTTCTTACTTGGAGATTTTCGAGATTTTGAGATTTTTGAATATTCAATTCTGATTGGCTGAAGATTGCTTAAAATAATTTTCCAAGGTTCCGACCCTCCATCATGAGGTATATCACCCTTACACGTAGGAACTATTTGAGCAAACTAACTAAAGTACATCGGTCTAAGTCTATTTGCTATTCTCTATCTCATAGACAGGATCCAAAAAGCTGTTATTTACTGGAGTAATTGGTGAATTAGAAACCGCGGCACAAGTTATTTCTTATTTGAAGTAGCTTAAACTAATATGAAAAAATTAAATATTCAAATCATAAAGATCTTTATTAGATTTATTATTACAAACAAATGTCTTGACTTTATAGAAAAAAAGTCACTAGCATTTTTTCGTAAGTTTAAGTGCTACAAAATCTTGTGAAAAATTGACATTGACAAAAAGAACATTTTTAAAACTTTTTGGGCATCCAGTTAGCATGTTTTAACTTGACCAAATTTATCTTTTCATAATTTGTTTAAATAGTTTTTGCTAATGTTCTCAAATATGACCACAAAATCATCTGGTAATTTTACCTATGATTTTAAAAAGTTCGCATACCTGCAGTTTGCTAACTGAACCGTGTTTCTTTGTTGTCACGAGAGTTTGTCAAGCTCTCCCTTCTTGTAATATGAAAAACTTATGAATTAATTTGGGTTTGACCCGATTCTGACTATTCAGTTGATCCATGGGTTAATACACTACCCGGGATGACCAAAAATACTAGTCATACAATTTCCATATATGGAAAAATGCTAGTCATACACTTTCCATGCAATTCCATACGTACAGAAAATTGCATGAAAGGTCTATGATTAGTATTTTTTTCATATATGGAATTTGTATAACTAGCATTTTTCCATAAACCAAAAATATTGATTTTTTACATTTCAATTTCTCAATAACATTTGGCTGTGTTCGTGACCGAACACAAATGAAATGAACCTTGATTACTCAAACGTAGTAGCCAACGGTTTGGCCGTCTCGCATTAACAATGCATTGGAAACAGCCTGATATGTGTTACTTCTGTCTCAGACAATTAACATAACGAAAGTAGTGAACTTTTAAATTTTGGCAATAATTTGCAAAGATGATTATTTCTAAAATTTGAATGTTTAAATTACCAGACATTGATCAAGGCATACAAAAACATGTCATACAAAAGAAAGAGGAG